TGTAGAGAGGGATACAAATCGGAAAACATTAATAATTACCCAAAGTACATATCAACTTTTAGGGTCACTTCTGCTTTAGTTAGCCCACTCAGAAATATAGTTTTGGAAAAGCAGACTTTTGCATCCTGTTAAGGAGAAACTCTGTAATGTAGACATGCATATTGAATATAGTCCAAGAAAAATTCTTGAGAGAAATAATTAAATGAATTGCTTTGTATAAAGTAACTCTCCCTCCTGAGATGAGCATTTCCTTTCTTTCTACTAGTTACTTATGAAGTGGAATTTCTGCACACAAACACACACTACAGCTGTGCTGTTATAAATATTAGGTCTTATCCGTTAAGCTCTGTTCTTCTGAATCAGATACAAGACATCTTCTGATTATTTTTTCCGTTTCAGATTCTGCTCTTTATGACAGCTGTTGAATTGCCTTCACTCCACAAGTACCAACAAAGGACAGGCAAGAATATGCTGGCTTACTCTTACTTCATGTCTTCCTGGAATCACATACTGATTATAGAAAAGTCGTCTTAACTCCACTCCCCGATAAAAGACTATGAAGATGCAAAGTCAGGCCTTTTACACCTCGATCTTCAATCTAGCTTACCATCTTTTTTTACAAGTTCTAAAGCAACTGTTAATTAGTAGTGGGTATGGAACAAGCTTTTTACCAATGAATTGAAAAAAAAGAAGTCTGCATACAGATATGCATGGGTAGACCAAAAAATTTCCTTTCTAGTAGAGATGGCTCTCAAGAGGTAAAGAAAAAAGACGCGTATAGGTGATGTGTGATAATATGAAAGGCTGCAAGACAGTTGCTTAAGAAACAAGAACAACAAAGGAATAAACTACTGCAGGCACCACCAGAGCTGGAATGACATTGTACTGTGTACTATGTTTCCATGGCAACTAGCCATAGGAAAATGAATGTTTCATATTCACTGTGCTCTGCAGTATGTGTCTATAAATCAAACTTGCATAAAAGAGCATAAGATTTCCTCCATGGGGTTGCTCTGAAAACCAGGTTATTTTTTTCATTATTAGATAATTACATGAAAGAAAAACACAACAATTAGGTCATTTTGTTGTATGGAAAGTACCAATGCATATAAGAATACTAGTATACCCCCAGTGTCAGTCATCCTATCAATCTAAGAATACAGCAGTGTAAAACGTTGATCACGAATGCCTTCATTTCTTCCTTTAGATCTGATTTATGCTTGTTAGCTTTAAAAACTGAATGAGACTTTTCTGCCCATTTTTGGGCTTTAGGACATTTTTCATCTTTTAGAGACGCACTCACATTCACATGCAATTGGTTTTCAGCTCTTTTCTGTTACTATTTCCATTATCATAGTCAGGATTTACCATGCAAACACCTATTTTCTCTAAACAGATGATAAAGCTAAGACGAATATTTTCTTACCAGTTTCAATTAATAATATTGTATAATTCTAATTCATACTCACATTACTTAAATATGTTTTCTAGAATTTGAATCTACTTTTAAAGACATGCTCACTTGCAGGCAGTAATTTAACACAAATTATTACTTCAAAGGATGTGTCACATTTCATATCAACACTGCTAAATGCACAACAACAGTGTTATTATAAAGAAATTATTTTCTCTGTTAAGCATCAAAAAGAGCCCCACTATGAAAGAACATATCATCCCATATCACCACATCATTTACCTTCGCAGGTACTTCTGCAGCTCAACAAAGAATGTTGAGCTTTCACTGCACAATGGCACTTTAATGAAGTGAATACTGGGCACGCAAGAATTAAGTCCATAGAAATGCAGTATCAGCTCAAAACCAAGAAACATGACACCACTGTTAATTTAAAATTGATGCAAGATTACAGTCAGTTAATAAAATCGAGATAAACTGAATTTCACCTACATTTTGTAAAACTTCAGCAACAATTGCAGTATACTACTGAAATTTGTAAGAAAACAATCCATCAGGAGAAAGAATGCCTATATTAAATATTATTTTACAGTAAGAGATGAAAATATATTTTGCCTATTCCCATTCCAGTTAAAAAAAAAAAAACACCAACAACCAAGGCCACTTACTGTATTTAGAAACACTACTGAATTGAAGTATCTTTTGTATTTTATAAAATAGAGCACTTAACATCCCAACCTGAAGCTCGATTACTAAGTCATACTAATTCACTACATCTTTTAACATTATACACCGTTAAAGTAAAGCAGAGGCATTAACTGTGTTTCATAGCCCAGCATTCTAATAAATACAGCACATAACAGGTCACAAACTCATGTATTGAGTTCACAAAGCCTGAAAACTGAAACTCTTCTGACATTGTCCGAGTTTGCCTGCCCTGCTTGAAGCTTTCTACTTGCTTTGTCTCTAACATCAGTTCTTTTAAGGGTCAGGATAGTATACCTAATTTGTTGTTCTTGTGTTTATACAGCACAAACATAAATTCTTGCTACTTCAGTCTATTTAAAACTATGTAAAATTAAATATTCATAAGTTTACGATAATGGTGTAGAGAAATATCAACCCAGCTTCACAGCAGAGACCTTCCATAAGAAGACACATTACTCACAGCAGAAGAGCACAGCATGGAACGTTAAGATGCAGGGCAGAGGCTAACACTGGAGGACCATGATTACAAACAACTCACCAAGAGTCAGAGAAATGCAGTCAGAGGACTGTACAAATCCAGCACTACGGATAAAGAGAGCAAAGAACAAGTATCTAAAACATAATATGTGCCACATGTAATAAATTTGAATACAACATGGGTTTGCAGACAAATGAAGAGAAGGGAAATGCATAAAGTATGTCAGTAGACGTGTTGAAATGACTGGATGATAAGAGCAAGAGAAAAGAATTCATCCACATGAATTCCAAACTCCTCAAGACAGGATAATGGCAATTCACCCAACCCTGCCCACCTGGAACCTGTCACAACAGGACATGAGAGGGGTAGTGAAAGACTTGGAATAACACCAGAAAGGAGTAGACATTGCAAAGGGTGTGCGATGTATTTAACTTTATTATTGAGACTTCTCTTTAATACAGTATTCTGTATTTTATTTTTATGTAAGCTTTGGATTTATATCAGTAATTTTTCTTTGACTAGACTGCTAAGATTTCAATTTATTAACAACAGAATTTGCTTTATATATCTGGTCTCCTTTTAGCCATAACAAGATTTCAAATTAACGGTTAAACAGGTAAGATAGGAAAATAATCCATTATTCTTTAGCTCTTTATTATATTATATAAAGAAGTTTTAAGACTGCTTTAGTATTCATGAATGTACATGAATGATAAATACAAGCATTTCATTTTCAAGCTTTACACTCGTTAAAATCAGTATAAGATGTATGGATTTCTCATTATGAGCATTTTGGATATCTATAAATCAAATTTACTTGACCTGAACAACTTCAGTGGGGTGGTTCTTCTTTAGTACCAAGTGCTACTGATGTTCTCCCGTCCCTGAGTCTTGCACAGCTAAAATACCCCTGCTTTCATTTTTATGAAAAAGTATATGTTGAGAATCACACCCTAGGAGAAGTTAATTCCCTGCTCTGTATGGTAAGGGGAGAAGTAAGTACTACACGTCTTTAACTTCTTTCCCGTCTCCTTTAAACCCTTATGACACAGACTTAATTTATAAAGTTTCATTTCATTTAAAGTATGGGAAAATAATACATGGAACAGTAGCTAACATGCCTTGTAGACAGCATGCCCATTAAAGTGAAAGTTCTATAAATAAACAGCTATATTCAAAGCTATATTGCAATATGAAGCTATGTCTGAATTTATTTGACAATTCTTCACATAAGAGAAATAAAGAAAAGAATATATTAAACATGACAGCATTAACAATAACTACATTTAAATTTCTTACATAAAGAGCCTTAATATTCAAGAAAGTTTCTAATCATTTCACAGAAATATTGGTTATTAGGGCCTTCATAAAAGTAGGCACTCAAGCCTATTCATTTCTTGGCAGTGTACCAAAAAGTGATAGCAGAAACACTTGGTTTTCAAGAAAATATACCTCGTCCCTTAGAGATTATTTTCACTTAATCTATTGCATGCTTATAAAGTTCAGGCTTGAACTGCCTACAATCTCATTCCTTATTATATGATGCGATATGACTTTGTTTTTGTTATTAATGAGTAATATGAAGATACTTGTTTATATGCACCCTACCAAATGAAATAAATCATTCAGCCCTCACAAAGTGATGAATTTCCAAGCACTGCAGTTGACTATATAGGTTCTTAATGTTTTTTTCAAACAAAGGGTAACATTCATCATGCAAACATATACTTGAAAACTGCACACAAAGTAACAGATATACATGAGTAAGTTTAAAAAAAAAAAAAAAGGTACCTAATGCCATGCCTCCAAAACTGAAGGACCTCTTTCAATGGCTGAGCTACTTCCAAACAAGTCATTCATTTCACAAAAAAAAGAAAGTTTTATTGCTTGGAACACACTGTTTTCCAAAATAGTTTTGAAGTAATATTTACTTACAGCTGCTAAATGAAATTGATTTTTTTTTTTAATGATCCATAAATCACTCTCAAAATTTAATCCTCTCACTCCGCAGGCAAATTTCACCTTATGAAAGATCCCACTAGTGCACTAATTTTAATTCTAAAGCTCACGAATGAAGATTTTGTGATTACAGGAGGAATATTTAAGAGTAAATAATAACAGGCTTCCTGAGAAACAGTTCAGTCAACAGTTTACTTTTTGTATTTAATATTATTGCCTTATATGTATTTTATGTATTTTTCTACTATATTTGTGTTGCCCATATTATTTACATGCATATTGTTCATATATATTGCATTCACTATTAAAGGCATTAACACAATAACGTGCTGAAGCTCATATCTTCAATTGTACAATAGAATATAATCATTTCAATTAACCGAAATATACAAAGAAAAGACTGCTATCCAGACTGAATAAGGATTTCTCTACTAGTCTTACCTGAAGGCTTCAATTATGATTCTTTCAGATAATTTTGGAAGAACAGAATTGAAGGTTTTCTTAAAGTCTTCAAAAGTCAAGAATCCTCTATCTTTTAAATCACAATTAGACAAGAGAAAAAGAACACAGGTTTATAAAACTTACTCATACAATTATGTTTGTATAGGGCTATTCACAGTTCTGAGATGATTAAACACTAAGTTATTTTATTTGCAAAATATTTTAGAATGGCTATGGTTATATGGAGTGAGCATATATATATCCTGACAGCTCCTTTGCACCACTGTGACCTCTATTTAATAGTCTAACATCCACAACTGTCTCATTTAAATTTTTTCATTTTAAAAGTAGGCATTTTAAATTGAAAATTTCAGACTTGTGAGATTTTGAAAACATATTTTCTAAAATACGTGAAATTACATTCCAAATCTGTCATCTTCATTGACACCTTAGCCATTATAAGCATTATATATCAGAAAAACTTTCTTCCATAAAAAAAAACTTTGTTTAATACTATTGAAGATCCTGAAACATACCAGTGTGATATCAATTGATCACTTAGGCTATGAATTCACTTCCAGAGCCAGCGAGAAAATAAAGCATTTCAAGCCAGGCTATCACAGATGGCGTGCAGCAAATAGCAAGACAAACAAAAGCTCAGTGCTTGAAACAGTTAAGTCCTTTGAAATAACTCACTAAAAATAACACTTCAAAAGCTACTTTTAGTTCAGAGCAAAAAGCTGCAGTGGATGCTTATCTGATCATCCCAACATCTGATCTACCATATGTTTCACTTTCACTCATTTCAAGGGCCTTAGTCCTATCTCAGGTCAGGAAGAAATCAAAAAAGATTGTCCCAATGTCTATTTAAAGAGAGGTTCTTGATGAATTTTTCCAGCACGGTGGCGGGAGATAGTCCTTGTTTTACTCTTTGTTTTCCAGCAAGAAAGAATCACTACATCAACTTCACAAAAAGTACATGAGAAAATTCACATTACTTTGGTTTCCATTCCTTCATCTACTATGAAGATGTAAAAGAAATATCTACAGCCACCAAAGACAGAAATCTCTAAAATATGTGGCAGGAATAAGTGCGTGGAGACACATGACTAGAAGTAACAAAAAATGATGAAGTCACTGGAGTTGGAATGGACCTTTAAAGGCCATCTAGTCCAACTCCCCTGCAATAAAAAGGGACACCACAGACAGACCATGTTGTCAGGGCCTGATCCAGCCTTACCTTAAAAGTCTCCAGGGACAGGGCATCTGAGGGCATCATCTCAGGGCATCTTAATCTCTTATTTCCTTCAGGTGTTCTGCTTTACCTTATTGTTTAAGAATTAACACTCAAAATATTTATTTAGGAGAAGAAACTTACCTTGCATGTCAAAAGCTGTGAATATTTCTCTTGTTTCATCACTACACAGTTGTGCAGATTTCTTTGCACTCATGAGATTTAAAAACTTTTCAAATAATATACCTAGAAAAATTGGAAGTTCAGATAAATCTTCCTGAAAAAAGAACTGTTTTATTTTCCTCCTTAAAAACTTGTATGACTGTCTAATAATTAGGAATCATTTGGATTATATATAAAGTGCAAAAAAAAAAACCAAACAAAAAAAGGAAAAAAAGGTCTTCAAAGTTTGCTCATGCAAACATTTCACTATCTTTTAAATTTTCTCATGTATTTTCTATACTTGAAAATAATGCATCAATTTATTTCTATTTTTCCTTCTAAGTTATCTGTTATCTCATCTTCCTTTGCATTGGAATGAAATGTGGACATTTCTAAGTCAATAGAACTTTCATGCCAAGGATAAAGATCCATAGATGCTGCATAAACAATGTATCTGGCATAATTCCCAGCAGGGACGGAACTCTGAAATAATCAGATACAGATTCCTGTGAGATTCACAATAAAATTAAGATTAAATATGAATTGGTGATTAATCCAATGAATTTACCTGTATATTTATCTTATCTTTTTAATGAATAGAAAAATGAAATAAAATCCACATCTCGTTTGCAAGTCCTGTTTTAACTGAGCATTTATTATAAAATCAAATAAAACCATAATATTAAGAAACAAAAATACACCCCCACAACCTTAGGCCTTCTCATGAAACATGCAAAATTTCTGACAGAAAAATTTCGGCCGACACATTTTATTCTGGCAAAGAGAGCACATATCAATTCAGAAAGCATGAGAAAGACTGTTAAAAATATGCCTTATGCTCCTTTTTAACAGCTGAATTTTCTTAAAAAGGTGGCAGTATCTGGTGTGAATGTTTATCAAATAACGTAACAAAAGCTCTGCACTTCTCTTTCTTTTGATTCATTCACCTTCTATTCTTCCTGCAGTGATTCAAAGGGGCAGCTCCTTCAGCTCCACCTGCTGTCTCAATTCAAATCTTAAACTCCAAGCTTACAGATTTCTGGTGTTTCTTTCCTTACTTCTTGAAAAATCATACATTAAGAACTATTATAGTCTCAATTTCCAGAATTACAAAGACATGTTGATTTCAAGTGCTAGGCTCTTTATGTCCACAATTTATTTAATAACAGAGGTTGCCAAAACATACTGAACTTGTCCGCATGAACAGCTTTCCATTCAATTGGATAAACAGGAAAATGAAACCATAAAAAGCAATATAGGATTTCCATCTATTTATTTTTCTCTTTCAGGGTATTTCAGAGGAACGTATGAGCCCAGAAAATTATAGTATACATTCTTCATTTTATGGAATGACTCCTACAATAGAGAGCCGCCTCTTCATTGATCGTGAGAGTTGGCAATCTATGAGCTACTGAATGGGTTGCAAAAGTATCTCAACACAAAAAGGTCACCTTAAAAAAAAAATACACAAAGCATCTAGATATTGACAGATCCATAGTCTACCTCCATATATTCGTTCACTAATTTTCACACAGACTTTATCTTAGGAGGGAGGGGGGAAGCAAAATCTTCTTAAGGATAAGGCTTAATGAATATAGGCTTTGACATCACAGTTAGAATAAACAGATAGCCTTTACAACACCCTTCAAATGCATTGATACAAGTGGGATTATATGGCAAATGAGAAAGGGGAACTTAATGACAAAAACACCCAAATTTTTGACATTTTTATTTTTCACATGAATCAGTTCTCTACTACAATTCACCGCACAGCCCCAGAAACAGTGGTACTGGCACCACTGATAAGGTCGAGGACAAGAGGAAAAACAAAACAAAAACAAGTAGAACTAGGTAAGTGGGTGTTGCTACAGACAGATATATTTATTGAACCGTGCTGTAAGACTCGTGTATTTGCCCAAATGAACAGTGAAGTGGTATCAAAAGAAAAAACATTTTTAATGAAAATCTTTCTCAACACTTATCAGCTTGAACACCAACATTTTCTAATTACTTTTCTCTATCACTGATCTGTATAATATTAAGAAATGCTACTCTGAGAAGCAAGAAAAAGTTCAAACGTGAATTCCAAGCTAAATTTATCATAAAAGCACTAGAAATATGCCAAAACTCAATGAAATCCTATAATCCTCTTTAATAGTTATGATCAGCTCATTTATCATTAATCTGCATCAAGTTTCTCAAAACACTTTAGAGATCAGGCTTCAGATTTTATTTATTTATAAGTTAATGAATGAAAAAGGAGTAGAGATCATTGATTGATTGATGTTTGCATATTACCTGAATTTTCTGGTCTCACAGAAGACATTATTGAATCCACCTCCACCTGGAACAGAGGAGACAGAACAGTGGTTTTCTACAGAAGTGCTCAATCTGAACTCTGTATGAGGTCCAAATATCAATGTTATGTCAATAATATGTGTCTTCACTAAATACTGATCTCATAATAGTACATATTATACTACAGTAACCTAACCTGTGCTATTTAAGCAAGCAAAGATTTGATTTTAATTTTAGAGAAACACGCTCTTCCTTGGTAAGTAAACTAAAAGCACACATGAACCTAACAAAATCCTCATCAAGATCCTAACCTTAAACAAAATAGAATTTAACAGGCATGGTTAAGTTTATGCAGACCAGAGTTCAACTACACAAAAAGGATGTAATGTGCAAAATAAATTTCTGGAGAGTCAGCCTCCGACATTTTTTTCCTGTAAACAAGGAAATAATTTTCCGATTCAGCATTCAGATTGAAGTATTTCCTAAAAACTATTTTTGATCAAATTCATTTGGTAAATCAGACTAAAGCAGTAAATGAAAAAAAAAAACCCAAAACTTTGCATCATTCAGCTTGAAAACTTATCCTGAAACCAATTCATTCCTCTTTCATTTTTCTTATTATATAAATCCTTTAGTGTCTTTCAATAGGATCTTATCTCACTATTTTTCTGATAGAAAGAAAGGAATGACAGATGTTGATTAGCATGTTACCAAAATTCTCATTAGTGTGTTGCCAAGATTCACTAACAGCACAAAGTCAAAAAGCTAAATGACCTGATAAATACGAGGATACTGACTTTCTAGAATAGTATTTGGAGCTGACAAAATAGTTACTGGCAAAGGTCTTTGAAAAATTTAAGGAAAGAAAAGGGTGTGTATATCTAAAAAAAAAAAAAATATGAGTGGTGTCTTTTGGGCTGTATTTGTATTGCTTTTTAGCATGACCGAGTGTCCATGAATGCATCCTCTTCCAACTATGCTATTAGAATACAAGACTGCACATACTGGCAACACTGAAACATTTCACACAGGAAGAGATAAGGTGCTGGCAGCTTTTACTGCAATCTGAGTACAGCCTACTCTGGAGAACAGACGTGCCAAACATGCTGTGACCAGTTAACCTAAGTCTACATGTCCCATTTGGCCTGCAAAGCTTTTTTCAGACTGAGTTGGGCAAATAGATGAGAGAGTTCTTTTTAGAATGCTTTAATAAGATGTGCCAAAGAGCAGCTGGAATTTGTAAGCAGCTCTGAGCTCAGACTGCTCTTCCATACTCCAGATGCTAAGGTGCCCTGCTGTTGGCATCTTGATCAGCAGCAGATGCTGAGCCACAGGTGTCCTGATGTGAAGGGATGGAGTTAGGTCAGGGAAAGGACTGGATGCCTCTTGGCCGCTGAACACCTAGGCAAAGTGGAGAATGCTCCTGTTTAGACCTAAGTGTAACATGTAGTACCAGGAATGAAACTTCAGCTGAGAAAACAAAATGTTCTCATGACAATTATTCCTGCAGTACCTTTTCATTTGAAAGTGTCTGAACGTGCATTTAACTATGAATGAGTGTTGAAATATGACAGTGCTTTAGATCAGTTGAAATATTCTAGGGGAATACATTTTCATGTATTCATAGCTACCTGTCTCAGAAGGTCTAATTTTGAGAGCAAAAAGTTTGGAATCTCTTTGAATAAACACACAATAACAATGTGTAAATAAGAGTTCTGTTAAACTTCAACAAATTATTTAGAAAAAAAGTAAGTAGGAATGAGATTCAATTTTTTAGGGTCTACTTCCTTCAGTAGAGTTCATTGGTGACATCTTGTGGGGAAAGTCAGCATAACTTTTAATTTATGGAATAAATGAAAACATGACCAAAAATAGACAGCAACAAATTACTGAAAGTGCAGTCAACCAATTGATTACAGTTGATGATGCTAGATAACCACCACTCCTACTGAAATAAAAATTAGGTTAGCATGCTGGGTAGTTGAGTAAAAGGTTTTGCCATAACTTAAGTAACATACACCCACTGTTGCCAGTTTCTTGTAAAGCTGTTAGAAGTACTCTAAGTGTCATTATTTTTAGTGACTCCAAAAAAATACAAGTATTTTTATTGTAATCCTTTATTTCAATAATTTTGACAACATGGAAAAATGCACAATAATACGCTCAAGAGCTGGATACCAAACAATTTTTAGGTCCACACCTTCTATGTTTAGTCCCTACCTGGCGTACCAAAAGCATTATGTTTTTTGAAACTATATAAAAGCAACCAAAAACACACTAAAACATTGAAGAGATCACTTACAATGCCTAACCACCAAGAAAAAGCAAAAGGGATGGCTGTGACATAAGCCACAGTTAATGTATGTTAGAGAGAGCCATGAAAAGAAGTATCTGTCTACACAGGGCTTTTAGTATTTCATCTTAGTAAGTGATTGCTGTATAAAGGGCAGCAGCTGCTAGAATTGTGACCACTTAAGGAAACAGCAAAATCATCAGAGAACAGAATAACTCCTGGAACAAATGTTTTCAATTAATTTTTGTGCAGCTGCACAGATAGAATAATCTGTGGCCAGGTGTTCACAGCACTGTCTAGAGACACAACAGGTATGACATGGCTCCCTTCCAGGAAGAAAGGACTAAACCTACATCTCCCTTCTTCCTAGGAGTCCTCCTCTTCTACTCTCTTCCCAAAAAGGAACCAACAGTGACTTATGCACAGAAACTGCTCTTGTTTGAATGCCTTGGCAAAAAAAAAACAAACCAAAACAAAAAATCCCACAACATTCAGGGAATGTAAAAAAAAAAAACAGCAAGTTTTTAAACAGGAAGACAGCTAAGGGGAAACTGAGAATTTGCAGATTAAGTCAGCAGTTAAGATTCACTTTAGTAACCTACATTATTTTTAGATCTGACTCTAGTTCATGAGGGAAACATTTGTTCATAACTGAAATGTAACAGATTACTCCTTTCAAAGTTAAATAAAATATTTATATGATTTTTACATTATTTGATTATATACAAAAAGTTGTCTATGATTGTCTTAGGCTATTTTCTGAAAATTCGTATGAAAGAAAGAAAAAAGTATAAAATTATTCACAAGTGGTCCCTGGGGAAGAAGACTGCTCAAACTGCAGAAGAAAGGTGAATCATAATTTCTGTACTAGATTTACAGTATAACATATCGCTCCAGTTTGTGCTGTCACACTATGAGAAAAATCTCACAGACATTTTGAATTTTGTGTGTATTCTTTATATTGCTTTTGAGATGACTTACCTTACTAGAATAGGAATGTAATTTCTGAAATTGCATAAAGCTTTAAAATTCATTGAATTCATTAGAATATTGATCAATAACAAGTCCAATATATCGCTTTTTTCATATGTCACACACAGATATGAAACACAATGCATACTTCTGCTCATCAGGGTGTACAGAATAACTTCTCAGCAAGAAAAGTTTGATCACATTCTTTTGAAATAATCTCCCTAGATAAAAAAAATACTTCAAAAATCTGTAGGTGTTTATGTTCACCAGTTCTAGACCAATCTACCCCAGTTAGCACAGATCATTTAGTAAATAGCATTCTTAACAGCAAGGCATCTATATAAGCTGGATATTCAGAATTTAAGAGAAGAAAAAACACATACCTCTGAGAGCTTATAACCAAACAACATTACTACAGCAACTTCAAAGTCCTCTCTGTTCAAATAGCCTTTGTTACCTTCATCACACACTTCAAAAACCTGCAGAAACAAAGCGATCTGCATTAAAAACAACAAATATGATGCAGTATTTTTCACTTAAAATAACTGCTATGGGAAAAATAAAACAAGCACTTAGTGAGCGAACTAAATGATTAAAAAATATACATACTGAAGCTTAGTCCCACCTCTGTAATAACTGTGTTCAACTACCGTTAAGGTAGCTGAGGGACTAAGAGTAGTCCGTTTTGGTCTTTTTTATTATTTAAAATATATTTTTCTTCTTCTAAAAGGTTCCCCTCACTCCCACCCAAACTTAGGAGATACAATACAGATTTCTAGAATCAAAATACACCGAGTTTGCTCCTTCCAGATGGCCTCAAAACTGTAGTAAAGCACAAAGAGACAGAAACGAGTGCAAGCGCCACAGCTAGCTTTCTAGCTGCACTTGCTTGTTTTATCACGGGACGATAACAGGTACTTAGTTGTTTAACTGCAGCCACAGCCCGTAGCAGAGAGGCACGACAGCCCCACGCTGTGGCATTTCGCTCTGCTAGATAGAGCACACTTTGATGACGCCCGTGCTCTAACTTATTTTACACCTGTTTCCCTCCCACACCCCCCCTTGAAGCTGCCATGCAGTTACCTCATTAGCAGGGCGCTGCCGCTGCGGTAATTAACACCGAGCTGAAAGAATCATTATGCAAATATCGCACCTGCCCTGAGTTAACACGGGGTCCGACGCCAGCATTTCGCATAAACTCAGTGAGGTAACGCGCGGCAGCTTCACTAATTACCAGAGGCACACGGGAGCTGCCCGAGCTCCTTGGAGGGGCGGGAAGGGCTCCGCTCCGCACGCCACGTTTCCCAGGGACACCGCCGCACCCCGCAGCAGCCCCGTCACGCACCCTGGCGCAGCGCTCCCGCAGCGAACCCATGGCGGCGGCTGCCCGGCAACGGCGCCGTTGTGCGGGGCGGAGCGAAGGCGGCACCGCCTCCCTCATCTCCTCCTCCTGAACTCGGTCCCCGGCCCGAGCGCTTGGGGAAGGTGCCGTCCTTCCGGAACGGGAAGAGGCGGGCGCAGGCTGGCGCGAAGAGGTGCTGGGGTGAGCGGTGGGCTTGGGGAGTCTTGGTACCGGCCGGTAATGTCGCTATGGCTGCTGCCGTGAGGGGTGGGACTGGCGGCTAGAGTCCCACCGCGGCGGTCCGGGCGGCACCTCGCACCTCCTCAGCTGGCCGCGGTTCCCGCGCGCTGCTGCTGCTGGCCCCGCCCGGCCGCGGTTCTGCCCGCCTCGGGGGCGGTGTTAAGGCGGGCGGTGGTTGGTGTGGCGGGTGTGCTCCGAGCTCTCGTTCTCAGTAGCAGTGTGGGCTGCGCCTCTGAGCGCTGGGTTCAGCGCGAGAAGTGCTGTGTGATGCAAATCCTGCTGAGTGCTTTGCTGCACGTGACCTTGCTCGAGCTGGTTTCTCACGTGCAGGTTTCCCTGTGCAGCTGCTTCCTACTTGGTAGCCGCTTCTGTTGCCCGCGTTTCTTTGTTTCTTGGGAGCAGCTTTGTTGTTATTGCATATTGTTTTGTATGTGAGGACCGTGTCAGATCTGGGGGGTGGAGGTCACTGTAAGAGGCAAGTGGAGGCTGGGAAGGGAAACAGTGTGGTCTCTTCGTTTGTAGCAACATGCTTCAGGAAGGCGCCCACGGGCGGTGGACTGTGTCTAGCAGTGAGGACAGCGCTGAAGAGAATTCTGACAGCGAAAAGCCCTCGACGTCCTCGCTGCCGTGTGCCCCGCGCAGTGAAGCGGGCGCGCCGCAGTACCCCTGCTCTGAGGCCAGGAGGGCTGCTCACAAGAGGAAGGCTTCTCCGCTGAAGTTCGTTGACACACCTGCTGCGCATACACCTCCTGTAGAAAAGCAGAGGCCTGGCCAGGAGGGCTTGGGATGGTGCCTTTCTAGTAGCGATGAAGAGCCTGAAGACCAGGTGAAGCACGCCAGCAAGGAAACACCGAAAAAGTGCGATGCACCCAGAGAGCAACCTCGGAGTCATTGCAAAGATGAACATTCAAAGGATGTGAAAGCAGAGGACTATAATGAAGCACCTGGTGAACCCCAAGATACCTGGGATTTGCTGAGTGGAGGGAACCCCTTTGGGTTTTTTCTCACCAAAGTTAGGGGAATTGAGCAGAGCTATAATTCTGGAGCCCTGCACATAAAAGGTGAGGAAGTGGCTCTTGCAGAAGTGGACTTTTGGATGGGAGGGTCTTGTGTGCAAGTGGACACTTAATTTTTAGTTTATGGGTTTTTTTAACGCAAAGATTCCTTGGTTTAAATGAGGCTTTGTACTCCAGGTATGAATATCGTAGGAACTGGTTCTGTTACCTCTTGTTTGTGCTTGTCTTTATGCTGCTAAGTGGTTTGGACCCAGTAAGTCACTGTTACTTGATGTAGTACACGGTACTGCCTTGTGAGTTTCTGTGGCTTGAGCTCACAGTCACGTGTCAGTGCAACTGAAAGTGAGCGTAAGTCAGAGGTGGAGTAGGATGTGGTGTATGACACTGGTGGTTTGGAAATGCCAGGTGACTGAAATTAATTTTACTTTATATAAGGGTAGAAAGCAGTGTGCATCTGTAGCCATTTCTACGTTCAGAGAAGCCTCTTGCATTGCAAGCCCTCAAGCCCAAAAGCAATCATTAATAGGTGATTTGTGCACAGATAGTAAAATGAAGTAGGAAACTTCTGTAGTTCCTTGTGTGGATCCTCAATCTGTTTTTGTCATGCAACTCACCCGGTAACTAACTGTTCCTCAATCTTGTGTGTCCCCTACAGCAATGGCTGTAGGCAGCCTTGTGTCTGAGGCCTTGGTTGCATTACTCCTGTACAGTTTTACCTACCTTGTGAACTCTCTGGCTTCTGGGCAGTCTTTCCATAAGAGTAATTATCTTGTTATGCGATTGCTTGAGCTGGTACAGAGGCTATTTCTTTGTTTTAACTTGCAGAACAGTTCCTATAGAGAAGTTCTAGTAAAGACACAGTATCTCATAACCTATTTGTCAGATATATTTTGTAGTTGCAGCTGTGCTTTCAGTTCATGAGGTTTTAAATCCTCAGTGTGATTAGTGTTCTATGTTCCCATTAATAAAATAGACTAAGGATACACATATCCTGCAATCATCCTGCAGCCTTCCCCACGTAGTTAAGTTTCTGGTCTGTGTATCTCTGAGTGACAGGGTGTCAAAGCAGTGGGTAGTTGTATTCTTCCTTTCTCTTTCCCTGAAAAGGAAAAAAAAAAAAAGCAAGGAGCTCTAGGACTGCTGTCAGTACTAGCACAAATGACCTGCAGCAGGTAACTCTTTAAGTGTTAACTATGCCCTTTCTGTTTCTAAGTTGCCACAGTTCTTCAAGACCGTCTATAGGGGAGAAAATAGCTTGTCCCTTTCTTTACTTGGTCTTGGTCTTTCTACTAGTAAGTTTTTGAACTTGGTGCTCTGCTTTGAAAGGGGTGATGCTATTTAAAACCATAAGACAATAAGCATAGAGTCATAGAATCCTTAGCATTTCATAGCAGAACCAGGGATTTGAATGTTCTACTCAGTAAACTTGTCAACATCTGTTACACTCAGTCTGTGAATCTAGCACTTGCAGTAATCGTGCTGTTCAAGGCAAAAAAGGTTCACTTAAGCTTTCTATACTCAATTGTGTCTTAATGTTTTTAATAGATATTTTGTCTCCTCTTTTTGGGACCCTTGTATCTTCTGCTCAGGTGAGTTTTCTATTTGCCAAATTGCCATTGCTTACTTATTTGCTCTATCCTCAAACCTGTACGTGATAATCCATTTTTTTGCCATGTAGCTGATTTCAGCAGGGAACTTCATTAAAGTACCAAGGGAGCCCTGAATGCTTTCAGCTGCACATCGATTTATTGAAAAATAAAAATGATCCTATGTTCTGCTTAGAAGTCAAGCAAATGTGAAACTTTCTCTCTTGCGCTCAGGAAATGCGCAACCGAAAAATGCATCTTCATGTAATTGAATGATAAAACAATGTGTTTTGCAATCTAAGCATGAGTTTTTTGTTACTGAATGGAAGCTTTTGCTTTTGTTCTTGGTGTAAACATGTGGCAGAGGGCACACTGCATTCAGCTTTTACATTATGTGCGTGCGGTTTTTTTTGTCTGCATTCTAAACTTTATGAACGCTACATGCTTTGGAGTAACTTAAATTTGTTCTTGAATGAAGAGATGTGAAAGAAAGCATTTGAAATTGAAAAATGAACCCACTGTTAAAACATGCTGATTGCAGTTTTGTAGTGTCATTGTGTGATGGAGCATCATTATGCGTTTGTATAATGTAAGTGATAATGAACAATAACTTTGTGTAGAAAGTATTTTTTTTCCCATACTCGATCGTTCTGACAAACTGCTGCTACTTTTTAATGAGCTTATTTTCCTTCTTATGTACAAGTTTAACTACTGTATAGACGTGGCATGGCTTGTACGACAGTATCCACAGGAGTACAGGTATGTTTACTTGTACAAAAATGAAATAATACAATTTCCAAATCACTCTGTTCATGTAAATTCATCTTATAATTGAATGATAAACCAGTGTTTCTTGCTTGTGTGCATATAGGCGTGTTCCACACTTATTGCACTATATTTCTCTACTAATTTATTGTCCTTTTATGAGTCAGTGTAAGGTGCTGACAGTTCAGTATGGCTGGTTTTGATTTTTTTTTTATTAGGTAATGTTTAAGTCACCCCATTGCAGGCCAAGACAGCAGTAGGTGAACTGTGAAAACAGAATGAAAATTTTTGTTGAGGAGCATGAGAGAAGTGTGTGAAAGAGATTGGAGTGATATTTAATGGGTAGAGTTGCTGTATATTGTTGTGGAAGCAGCTCTTATTTCCTTTAAATGACATTTTGACAATGGCAATTTATCACAGATGACGTACACTTATGATACTGAATTTTCTTTTCTATTTTGCATTTTACTGAAAATTCGGTAGAGCAGATTATGTGAAACTGCTGCTGGAGTAGACCTAGCCTTCTCCTTCACATCTTCTCTGTGAAGTAACATTGTCTTATAGATCCAAACTCTGTGTTCTTTTCCTATTTTCTGTCTTTCTGTTGAAGAAACCATTAAGATGTAGTTAATGTAGTTAGTATAGTCTTTAGTGCCATCTTTCTAATAGGTCATTGGATTTAGGGACCAGAAGTCATAGCTCCATCAAAGACTGTTTCGGATTGATTACTAATTCAGTTGATGCTTTCATAATAATCTTGTTTTATTTCAGGAAGAAGCCATTGCTGATAGTTCATGGTGAAAAGAGAGAGTCCAAAGCTGAACTGCTTGCACAAGCACGCCCTTTTGAGAACATTAGCTTCTGTCAGGTAACTGACATCTGTGTTATCCTTTGGTTGAAATTAAGCCATTTATTTTATTCAATCTTCTTGCAAGAGGAGAAACACCTTGTATGGAAAGTTGAGAATTTATTATTTTGCTTTAAGGAATATACTTGTTAGAACCGTAGGAACATGTAAACTATGGTCTAAAAGGTGTGTAATTGCACACCTGCCACCCACAACAAGTTTGCACAGAATTGCTGCCTTCAAAAAATGTCTTGGTTTACGGAAGAGGTGCCTGCTGTCTCCACTGACACACTGCACTGTAATTCCCAGTATTGCTGAAAAGGAAATACTGTTTGTCGAAGGCACAGAACATAATGCTTGTGTCACTGTGATCTTAAGTTTAATCTAAGAATTATTTTTAGTCCAGATAGGTCATAAAGAAGAAGATATTATTACACATAGCCTCCATCATAAAGTTGTTGGCTTCAGCCTGAGTGAGTGATATGGTTATAGCAGCTTGCTGGGAGAGCTACACAGTTGGTAATGGGGATATCTTCTTTGAAAACATGATATTGATCTTCCTTTTTTTTTCTCAGATGGTCTGGGAAATATGAGCTTACTGGAAATTGCAGTATTAATGCCATACTTAGTGAGTTCTCAAGGCTAAGTTTTCTGAGCTGCTGTGTGCTGTACTAACTGGGTGTTAATGCTAAATAGTAGACTAGAAACTAATTTTTTGATGAGATTAAGATTTCAAATATGCTACCAACAAACCTGGTTTTACATACAAAGCGTCTTTTTCACAAGCACACCAGAAATTGAATGTGATGCCCCTTATGATAGACTTGCTAGTTTAGTTCCTAGCAAGTGATAGGGACAAATTTCAAAGGTGTTGAGAGGAAAAATAATGTATTTTGTGATCTGTCCACTAGAGAGCAGTGAAATGAAACAAAATGAAGGTGAAGGACCCTTCCCTCTTTAATAATAATGTTACATACTAGAAGTACACAATAGGAATTTTTAACTAATTTGTAGTGATCAACTCTTTCATTTTATAGGCCAAGCTGGATATTGCATTTGGAACTCACCATACGTAAGTAACATTTATGAAGCAGAAAGCTCCCTTTTAAAGATGACACAGTTACTGGTATTTAATGTCTGAAAGTATTTAGAGGACAGGAAAATTACTGGATGTGAAGACATAATTTTGAAGGAATGCCTAATGTGTATTGATGAAATTTGAAAATAATCTCTATCTTGTTTTGTATGTGTCTATTTCAGGTGTGCAAATTGTTTTAAAGCTGTAAAACTGACTTTTATTGGAAAATTACTATT